CCTAACTTTGGACTTGTTTGTAGACCTTACTCTTGTTTCTTGCTTTTTGTGTTGGCATTGTATTTGTGTATCCCAGAAACCCCGGGTTGACTAACAGTGCCAGGCTTTGCCCTGAATGCAACAAAAGCCATGCAGCTCAGATGTTGCCTTGGCCATTGACTCCAAGGATGTTTGTCAGTTCACCTGTTGCATTCTCCAGCAATGGTATCTATAGGAGCAAGCAATGGGTGAATTGACAACCATCCTTGATGCCACTGGCCAGTTCTGAGCACAATGGTTCTGTTTGTTCCTAGCCACTAGTGGCCCTATAAGGCTGCTGCCCACTTCAATTTTTTCTTGCAAGTTAAATGGCCTATCTTTCCACAACGTAGTGTAACCCCCAAAGTTACACTGAGTCAGAAGCCATTTTTTTGAAACACCATCATGACTTCTCAGGCCATAGAATGTGTGGGGGGGAGGCTCTATGTTTGATATTAAAGCTGAGAAATTAAGATCAGGCAGAAAGCAATTAATGATACTGACTCACAAGGTTCCCCTGGACACTCTTCTGTCAATGGCTCTACCTTTTGGTTTCCTGAGGGCTCATCAAAATTCAGGCCATGACTAATTATTGAGGACTACAGGACAATAGCCGGCCTCCTAGGATCATCCAGGAATTTATTTACAATGCAGAGTTCCCTGGAAACAAGTAAAGCCTAGGCTATCAAACATTTTTAGGGCTTTTTAAATAATTACTAATCAGGGCTACCACTCAGATAATCCAGTCATCCCATCTAAATCATCCCCTGAACTAACTGACGTACCCCCACTGCCTAAACTTAGGTATCTTTCCTTTCCTCCTCTTCCATATGACCAAATCTGGACATTCTATGCCCTTCCTTTACAAAGGACTGTAAGACTGCCAATGAGATTTGTCTCCTAGCAATAAATACCAAAGTAATAATATTTTATAAAAATACCTTCCAAGCAAAGGGGGAAATTGGGTTCAATGTGATTCACATGGATTGTTCCTTCACCTCTGAAATCACCAGACAGATGTTTTTCTCTCTCACTTGAACCTGTCCTTGCTACTCTGGAACCTCTTCAGCTGTGTTGGACAAGCATATCTGCTCTGCTTCTTTAAAACTCTCCCTCTTCATCTTCCCACATCCTATGCATTCACTGAAGCACTACTCAGATAAATCCTGCACCCTTCGTTCTCCTGCACCCCATCCCCCTCCTCTCGCTGTAAGGACACTGTACACTCATAACAACACTGAAGATGGATTCTGACATTCTGAACCCACCCAAGGGAGGAGTATCCAGCATCACTGGAACAGTTTTCAATAGCAGTAAAAAAGAGCAAGAGTCCAGTAGCACCTTAAAGACTAACAAAATGTGTCAGGGTATGAGCTTTCGCGAGTCACTGCTCATTTCTTCAGATGTCCAATTTTGTGAGCAGTGATTCATGAAAGCTCATAGGTAAAGGTAAAGGTTCCCTTGCTCGAAAGCCAGTCGAGTCCGACTCTAGGGTTGCGGTGCTCATCTCCGTTTCAAAGCCAAAGAGCCAGCTCTGTCCAAAGACGTTTCCGTGGTCATGTGGTCGGCATGACTAAACACTAAGGCGCACAGAACGTTGTTACCTTCCCACCTATTTATCTACTTGCAATTTCTTGCTTTCGAACTGCTAGGTTTGCAGGAGCTGGAACTAGAGACGGGAGCTCACTCCATCATGCGGCACACTCGGGTCTCGAACTGCTGAACTACCAACTTTCCACAGCCTGCAGTTCAGCGTCTTTACCACTTGAGCCACCACAGCTCCATACCCTGCCACATATTTTGTTAGTCTTTAAGGTGCTACTGGTCTCTTGTTCTTTTCTACTGCTGCAAACAGACTGACACGGCTACCCATCTTGAGTTTTCAATAGGAATGTTCATTGTTGCAAGTTTTATATATTCTGGTGTATGCCTTATATGCCATCTAGTTATTTGCAGTTCAACAGTTCTCTAAATTTAGTATTCTATATTGATGTTTAAGACTAAAACTTAAGTATTGTCTCCTTCACTGCCTCTGCCATTTCAAGCATCTCCCTGTGGTACTGTCCAAAATTGTGTTCATTTCAAACACACACAAAAGAATCTCCTGCGCATGTACTCTGCACATGTATTCTGAGCATTTCTGGTAACAATAGCCATAGAGACTGCACACATACAGACTATACACAAATGATTTCTGTGTATATATGCTCAATGCCCACAGGGTGATTATTATATTTTGTAAATCTCACTTGAAACACCCTCCTGAAAATCTTTCATGTATTGTATTCTTTCTATAATTAAGACAATGAATGTGTAGACATATTAAATCTTTCAGCCTGAGGTCTTCCCTAGTTCTAGGAACAATGAAAGATATAACCACTGAAAACAAGTTATGTGACTGTTCCATACACTTACACACAGATGGAAATACACAGGCATACGATTTTCCCACATGAGTTTTATCTAAATTGTATAATCGAGG